CGACTGATATGACGATAAATTCAGTAGTGAAAGAAAGATGAGAATTTTAGTAAATGGCTGTTCGAGAACTCAAACCACCACCAAGCAGCTTTAAGACATCAGTCGGTTATAGCGAGGTTATCATGAAAATCAGTTCAAACTTCCTGAAATCTGCACAGGAAAGGCGATCATCATAATTACTTACTTCCTGTCAAGCGACCTGAGGACTGCATCTGAAGAGTTTTGAAATTTGGACTTCATTTATACAAGGGAGACCGGGGAGTGTTGTAACAATCACTTTAACCAAATTGTCAAATGTCTGTGTGTTATGTAAGTGTAGCACAAATCATCTGGCCATAACTTGTAACATCAGCACTCATTTGACATTTAGAGTTGTAGACACAAAGACACAACACAGTTACAGACCTTGAACAATTACATACCCTGCTCTCCACTACAGGTAGCCAACTCAGTTATGATAACTACAAACCTAAACTTATCATTTAGCAGACAACTTAGGCTACATCACATACACCTAAATAAATAAGCATAAAACTTAAACGCATGGTGTAGCGGGAAAAATCAAGAACGCATGCTTCCTGACACAAAGGTTAGCTGTAAAAACTCTATTTACATAATTTATCGAACGTTGTGTAAAAACAAATCATGGGTTCACGGAGTAGGCCTATCTCAACACACAACGTCTGAAGAAAATTATTTTCCCCACAAAAGTTCTGACCCTGTTAACCATTAAAATGATATTGTAATCTCTTATCTTGACAAGTAACAAGAGTCGTGCGACATGCAATCGCCCATATTCCCAACGTTGGTCCTGCAGCATATATTCAGAGTTTTTATACCACTGTCAGGATTAATTTATATTTATAAATATACTCACAATTTTAACTTAAGACAAAATGTATCAGCTTAACATATCCCACAGAAAACCACAAGTGTTTGCAGACCTGTTGTAGCTGCTGGATCAGGTTTCGCATGCACGCGCCCTGAAGTGAGCGATAAAGTCTAGTTTATGAGTAGCCTAGCCTATGCGGTTAGCGTTTTTTTTTTTAAGGAACAATGAATTAGCCTACCTTTTTTTAAAGAAGTTTGTTACGTCCCTCTCCCGTCCGTGCGCTCCCTTTATAAAAGTCCCGGTGAAGTGTCCTCCTGTCCTCCTCGCTCATGCGCACAAGAGCGTGTTTCACCCGAGCGCACAATACATGTTCCCTGACGTGAGAACGTGACGTGCAAATAACTGAGTACACAAAGGCAGGTGCTCCTCTTACTGCTCACTATCCTCCTGCTCCTGGGACCCATGAATATACTTTTGTACACTGTAGTGGACATTACATTTTAGTGAATTTCTCTGACACCATGTCACAGTTTTAAGTCATGTAAAGAGCACATTCTGGGCTTTTCACTGATACCAAATGCTTGAAAGTTTCACATGACAACAACTTCTCATTGATCTTTAAAAATGACTGAAATTAAATTAGTGATCAAATTTAGCACTGTAGGCTAATTAGAACTTAAATCTGACTAGTATTCAAATTAATTGTCCAAAAAAAAAAACATCTCAGGAAAGTGTTATGGGTTTCTAATCAAAATATGACTTTCTGTTACAAAACAATACAATTGGTTTCATACATGTCCACTCAGAGGACACCTGGAATCATGGTTATCAGGCATTTTGGGAGGAACAAGTGAATTATAAATTATGTATCAATATTCCTATGAAATATTAGATATTATTATGAAAATGTTACCAATTATTACTCCTATTATTACACTTTTTTCATTACATGTTGCCCCAAGAACATTAATATGCAAACTCGATACAGTGTAGGCTATATTGTATTGAATGGGACAACCCATTTATGGCCATGTATTGCATAAAGTAAAATAGTAGGCCTATATCAATTCATTCCATTATATATTTCATAACATAGTTGAGAATCATCTTTATACAAAGTTTGGCTAAAAAAAATCCTGAAACCTAAAAATTGTTTGGTGAATGAAAAAAGCCCATTGTTTTTGCCTAAACTTTTTTTTTTCTGTGTCTCAGGAGGATATCAGCAGGGTCATTGAAAGTCACCCAATTGTGACTATAATAATACCAAATTATTATAATTTTGGCTATTTTAAGTTCAAATGTAAATGTTAATTCTATAGATAGAGATTCCATGGGGGATTTTCACTTTTTCTCAAGTCAGGCCAAGGTTATAAATGAACTTTGCAAAGTGGTGACTTTTATTTTTGTTTATGTTGTCTTTAATAGGATCCAACACTTAACCTGAATGTTCTTACTTCTGTTCTAATTGCCTTTCTAATAGACTGTATTGAACTCATTCATAAACTAAATGTTCTGAGAATTTATTATTATTATTAATAATCTAATGTGGAGCTGAATAAGGAACCAAGCAGAAAACTTGTATATGGAAATACAGTTGTGGTCAAAGGTTGACCTTGCAGAAGCTGCAAAATGTTAATATTTGAACTAAATTACAGGAATCATTGTTTGTTATTTTTTATTTAGTACTGTCAAGCTATTTAAGAAAATAGTAGCTGAATTTATAAAAGTGGCCCCATTCAAAAATTTACATACGCATTATTCTTAATACTTGTGTCATTACCTGGATGATCCATGATCATTATTTTAGTTTGTTTGTTTTGTGGTGTGGCTGATCATTGAGGTGGGATGTACGGCTTCAGAGAGTATAGAGTCTAGGCCATTACAGCTGCAGTGTTAACCAGTTTCTTAGAGGTAATTATGTAGCTTATTGCTCTTTATTAACCCAATACTGTATTTTCAGTCTGTTTTAATGTCTATGTTTGTTATTATTCAAAGTTTATGAGAACATTTGCTGAAATGGGCTCATCATGCTTCTCAGTGGGGAAAGTGAATTAAGAAACACTTATTCAGGGCTGACCTCTAGTGGTTACTTACCGGTAGTTCTGTATGGAGTCAGAATACACACAAAATGTAAAAGATTCATAATTTAAACATAACCACGTCCACACCCTAAACCTAAACCTAACCCTACACTGTGAAAAAAATCCGTTAAATTTACGGTAAAAAAAAAAACTGGCAGCTGTGGTTGCCAGAAATTTACCGTAAAAAATACGGTATCAACTTTTTAAGTTTTACAGACTTTAGCTGAATTTACAGTAAAAAAAAACAAAAACGTATTTCATTGTCTGATATGGCTAATGCTAATTTACCGATCTATTGAAATATGTCTGTTTTGTACCATTTGAATCACATGATGCAACATCACAAGCTGAGAAAGTTAGCCTAATACTAGAAGCTGCACTGTAACGATCACCAGCTGGAGTAGCCTACCCCCGAGAGTCACCAGTCCAGAGGGCACTCCACATCAGAATGATCACTTCACAAACTACAATTCCCATAATGCTTCATACCGACTGATTGCACACTCACCTGCATCTCATTCAAACACTCCATATAAACCACACTCAAACAGAAGACCACTGCGAAGTATTGCCTTGCCACGGCCTGTAATCACTGAGCGTTTTTCCCTATCTTGCTGATCTGTTTGCTGACTTTGGATTGTTATCTCACTACTGCCTGTTTGCTGCCTGTCTTGACTCGGATTGCCCTGGATTATTGTTTCTTGCTGCCTGCCCTGATCTTCTGCCTGTTACCTGACTACTCTCTGTGCTTGCTCTCTGAATTCCCTGTTTTGCTGTTTCCTGACCCCTGCCTGTTTGACGTTCCTTCAATAAAGCTGCAAATGGATCCTACTGAGTCTTCCAGTTCATAACATGCACAGTGTCATTCACACAAACACTAAGCACACATGACATTTAAAAAATGCAATAAACATTAAATCAACAACATTAAATGTAACATAAAACCCTAATGTAGCCTACATAACTGAATAAAAAAAAGTGTCACGCAGGGAATTGTGGGAATGTCAATTTACATTTTTTTTCACTGTAAATTATACAATGGCTTGTTCTTTTTCACTTCCTAAAACGGTAAATTTAAATATAGCCTACGGCTAGATCTATCACAGTTATTCACGTATAGTAACCAATTAATAGTTTACACCATCACCATAGCATTTTTACAGTCTTTTACCGTTAAAATCATGATAATTTTTTACAGTGTACCCACAAGTTAACCCTGAAATCAAAGGGAAATGATAGATGAATAACACTGATGTAAAAGCACCTCCTGCTTGTAAGCCTATTTGACATAAACTGTAAACTTTTCCCTCAATTCTGATTGGTTAATCAGAATGTTGATCCAGGATCAACAAATATATCCAGGAATATGTTGCATTTGGTGAAATCAGGTTCCGTGAAACGGCTAGCCTTAAATTTCTTACAAAACTGCCATCATTGTATCTTTCTCACTTTAAGTAAAATGCTGAATATTCACAGCATAAATGTTTTTGAAAAGATAATTTCCTATAGCCATTTAGCACAGACTGTAAATAGGCTATATAGATAGCCTAATAATTCTTTTCATAGCTACTGTCTGTATACAAAAAAAAAATATCTGAAGTATGTTTCAGTAAATATTAAATCTCTTGCATACCTATTTTAAGTTGAACTGAACAACAACTGATTAAATTAGGTCAAATTAAAATTAAAAAGCTCTCCAAATCTTCAATAATAAACCAGCCTGACTAGTATGAGACAACCTACAACATGGCAGACTGAAGACTACTTATAGTTGACAACTCTCTGAAAAAATCCTCAGCAATTGTTTTTAGACCATTCAAACTCAAAAGGAAATTTTTGCATTCCCCCTAAAAACTGCTGCCACTCGTATAGTCGAGTAATGTCAGCTCGCCAGTGGGTCAGACTCAAACACATGATCATGATGACACAGCAGAGATCAGGCATGAGGGGGCCTTTCATTCACACCCCTGTTTCCACAATGCAACATTGTTTTGAAACTTCCACGCAGTCAGTCAGTCACGCCTCTAAACCTCTGGCTGTGCACTTCTCATTGGTTTAGTTTAGCTCTCCATACACCCCTCTCCAGCACCATTTCCGCCTTCATATTTTTGTTTCCGCGATAGAATAAGGTGCAGCAGGAATTATCCATATTATTAATACAACAGCGAGATCTTTCTCATTTTAACATCAGCAAGAAGATCTTTAACTCTGCAGACTGCAGTCATGTCAGACCGTAGTTCATTCGACACTAATGTTGTGACTTTGACGAGATTTCTGCTTGAAGAGGGCAGGAAAGCCAAAGGCACAGGCGAGCTGACAACTCTTCTGAACGCGATGTGCACGGCTGTAAAAGCCATCTCGAGCGCTGTCAGGAAAGCTGGGATCGCGCACCTGTGAGTATTTCTTATGCACACCTTTGACAAAAACACGAGTTGGAGAAAACAGTGTCCATCTCTTGTTTACTATACCCACAAGGTGAATGTGTTTTTTCACCAAGTAGCTACAACATGTTCCTGCATCAGCATTTCAATCAACCAATCAGATTTGAGGGACAACTTTAATACAATTAAGTATATTAAACAACATGTAGCCTACTTTGATGCATAATTTAATGTTCTAACTGTACTAAGTGTGTGTAACGTGTAACAATGACACTGTAAAATAGTGTTACCAAAGCTTATATTTTTGATAATTTATCATTTTTGCATTGTGACATTTTTTAAAATATTTTTTTCTTCAATTTTTAATGCCAGATGCTCATTATTGGAATGCAATAAATTAATAAAAAGTAATTATACATCAAAGCATTTCTTGTTCTTTTGTTTTGTTTAGTTTTTGTTTAGTTTTCTTTTATTCTCAATGCACTTTTTTATATAAAAAATATACTATAATTTCTTATTTATTCATTTCATTTTTTAATGGAATATGAACTGAACATTTTCGTTTTTAGTTTTATGCATGTTTGTGAAAAATGTTTTTTTTTGCTCATTCAGACAGCAATATAGTGCTGGTTTATTCCTTTTTTCCCCACATGTGATTAGCTTAAGTTTAGAAACTGAAGCATATAGAGATGCTTCAGTGTTAGGAAATGTCAGCAGAACTGAAAAACCTGAAGTTTGTACTTCTGTGGCTTTAAAAAAAAATGAAATTGAGCACTTTATATCACAAATTAGTTCATTATTAAGTATCCATTACATAGATTATGTATGCAGTATCACATGAGCAAACAGTGCCGTTGTACTGGAAGTAGTGTGATGTTGCTTTTATACAACACTTCTATAAAGCATTGAGAAACAATACCAAAAAACAAATTTCAGTCCCTCTGATATGATTAAATTCATGACTTTGAAATATTTCTGGCAGGTATGGCATTGCTGGAAGTACCAATGTGACAGGTGATCAGGTTAAGAAGCTGGACATCCTTTCCAATGACCTCGTCATAAACATGATCAAATCCTCATTCACCTCATGTGTACTGGTCACTGAGGAACATGACACTGCAATCATTGTGGAGCCAGATAGACGGGTAAGGTACTACTTTAAGTGTTTAATCATAAACCATTTAATCAAGATATATTTTGTTTAAAGTGTTTGCCAAAACATAGCCAATGAGTTCACAGTAACTCTTCACAGTCTATCCCAAGAATGGAAAAGTGTGAGTTTCCAGATAAACTTGCCTTTCCTGGGGAGAAAATGGAGACCTAGTCACATGACTGATTTCAGCTGCTAGGCTAGGTAGAGATGCAAGCTTATAGATCATAACCTGTATTATTGACCAGAAACCCATCCTGAATCTAATCTGACATTCAAGAATATGAAACTGAGATACATGTGCAAAGACGTTTTGTGCAAATTGAGTTTCCATAGTCATAGAAAACCTGGAATTTCAGGGAATTTTAAAAAGGCATTTTCCAGTCCTGGATATTACACAGTTAATAAAACCTTAAAAATCATGGAAATGTAATTTTGAATGTAAATATTTCTGCTCTAGAGAACATTGTGAGTTCATTTTCTACAAAATGATTTGTTAAAAACTAATCCAGTAATCATGAATAACTGTAACTCATGGAACTACATTGGTCAAAAGCTGTGTTAAAATTAGACATAAGCCAGTCAAGTGTGTGTGTGTGTGGTTTTAAAGATGAGTGAGGATTTCATATGATAGTGCTACATCATTAAATGGCTGTAATGTAAGTCAAGATGCACCACTACTTCAGTAATATTTATTTAACCAAAGCTTCTTGCATGTGTTCAAGGGTAAATACGTGGTTTGCTTTGACCCTCTTGATGGTTCATCCAACATTGACTGCCTTGCTTCGATTGGAACCATCTTTGCCATCTACAAAAAGGTATGACTGAATATATTTAATGGACTTGCAAGTATGCCAGCAGCAGCCCATGACAGTCCATGTTCCACCCTAGTATCTGAACACACTTTAATGACTGCTCTGTTCACAGTGCACAGACAGCGAGCCGTCTGAGAAAGATGCCCTGCAGTCTGGTAGAAACATTGTGGCTGCTGGATATGCACTATACGGCAGTGCCACCATGATTGTCCTCTCCACTGGTCAGGGAGTGAACTGCTTCATGTTAGATCCAGTGAGTCCGTTTTGCTTACACCATTTTTTACACATCACTTTTGGGATCATTTACCAGTGAATCAGTTGGTTTCACAGTTTATTCAGTCTACACAAAGCATGCTAAGAACGTGTAGCTATGTGTAGTTAATCATTTGTAGCTGGAAATTATATGATTCATATCATTAGCTAGGAGACATAGTTTGAAACAGTGTACTCTCTTAGAAGAAAGGTTTCTTTAGAACCATAAAGTGTCTATGTGGTACCTTTTAGGGGTTCCCATCATGGGATCATTTTCTGGATTTAGTTTTAATTAATTAATTTAGTTTAAATTTTTTTTTAAATCAAATTTTATGACTAAAACAGCTCGTAAACATACTTTATCACTAGAAAAAATGTAAGACTTTTATTACTGTATCTATTCTCTTCCTTCTTTTTTTTTTAACTGAGGACAAATCTAAGTTATTTTCTGTGATAATTGACAGCATACCACAGATGCTCTCCAAAGATAACACATGCATTAATGCATTTAAATGTCAGGCTATTGGAGAGTTCATTCTGGTGGACAGAGATGTGAAGATTAAGAAGAAGGGGAAGATCTACAGTCTGAATGAAGGTTATGCCCTTTATTTCGATCCTGCCGTCACGGAGTACCTGCAGAAGAAAAAGTTCCCGGAGGTTCAGTATGCATTTTTTCCCCAAAAAATATATTTTTTACAATATATATTGCCCTAAACATAATAAAAGCTGAACAAACTTATACATTTCAAATACACCTCCACCAGCTACTAAAGGACACACATGGAGTATAACTGTAAAAATGTGTTCAGGATGGCAGTGCGCCCTATGGAGCCCGTTATGTAGGTTCAATGGTGGCAGATGTGCATCGGACGCTTGTTTATGGAGGAATCTTCCTTTACCCTGCAAATGTGAAGAGCCCCAAAGGAAAGGTACTTCATCTAAACATTGTTTACATTCATGTGACCTTGTTTAAACGTAGATGCTGCCACGCCAATAAATCAACAGTTGTGCAATTTTCTTTCTGAACTGCATTTAAACACTTGTAACCTAAATACAGTCATATATTCATATGCTTTCATATATTCAGATGAATATAGCCATATATTCGGTAATACTGTAGAATAGTAGTCCATTGATAGAATAAATATGAATATTTATTTTTCATAAAATTGTTGCTTGATAAAGTCTTATTCAGCAGCCCAAATTTGTGCACCCAAGTTGCACTTAAAAATGCCTGAATGCATTAGCACCTTCTAAGAAAGGTTAGAACTGCATGCTAGATAAGATAAGCTGCACTTTTCTGAGACATTTTTAACTAACTGGTTCATTCAGAGTAACCACAGGTGCAATGAACTACCATGTTTGACTATGTAGCAATGTAAATGTAATGTAGTGTTTAATTTAATGACATTCATATATTCACTTAAGAGTTTCCAGATAGTTTTGCGGACACTGTTCTATTTAATGAAATACTTAAATGAAGTGAAGACATGGAAAGCATGTATGACCTTTGCTCCAGTTCTTTTGTTTGGTGTCAAATATGCAGGCGTGTCAATGTTTATTCTCTCTATCCGTAAGAATCTATCCTGGAATAGGATCCATTACATTATAGATACTTGTGTAAAAACCTTTGTGCCATGCTGTTTACTTCACAGTATCATAATTCAAATACCTTAGTGAGAAAGCTTTTAATGCTTCACTCACCTCACCTGTGTCTGCTACAGCTGCTTTTAAAGCCTATAGGGGGAGCTGTAGGAATAGGAGGACGCCCTAACTAAATGTTCTTGGATAAATAACGTGGCTGGGACTGGTAGAGACTTGTAAAACTCTTTCACCCTCTTCAGCTCAGACTTCTCTATGAGTGCAACCCCATGGCCTTCATCATGGAGCAGGCCGGAGGAATGGCCACCACAGGGACCACCAACATCCTGGACATCCAGCCCGAGAACATCCATCAGCGGGTACCTGTGGTGATGGGCTCCCCTGATGATGTCCAAGAGTACATCTCCATCTTTCAGAAACACCATAAATGAAGACCAATAGTCAGAGAGACTCGGAATAATCACTCCAGAATGAGAGACCAAAATGTATTCTTACTTTCAAAATACCTCCGTAATGTAGATCTAGTTCCCTAAAACCAAATGTTTTTTATAAACTTTATACCTCCAAAAAAGAAATAAGAAGTATTTTAGAGAACACGGACCAAGCAGTGATTATTTTTTTGTGAAAAACTTGAGACCAAAACATTTTCTTTTAGAGAAACACGATGTGTTCTGCACTAGACAATCTCTGTGGGTGTTTTTGGCAGCTGGAATTGTTGTCAAGCGAAAAGACAGAAGCATGTTCATGAGGATGATTTGAATTTAAATTGATCTCATTTCTTTCTGTACAGATCAAAATATATTGTTCCTTTATTGCAGCCTTGGAAGCTGAGGGAAGCTGTGAATAAAGCTCTTGGCAAAACAAAAGACTTTGAAAGACATGTTTTCTCTGTGTTAAGAACTCGTACATTAAAGTCAGCATGAAACGGAAGTTGCGATAGTTTTTTTTATTTTTTTTATTCTAATGAACAAAAAGCACAGGGGATACATGTATCAAGCACAAAAGATAAAATAAATATAACAGTACAATCAAGCAAGGCAGTAGATACGGGATAGTCTACCAAAAATCAAAATAAAAGTTCACAAAACATGCACAGAGGAAGTTGCGATAGTGTTTTCTTCCCTATTGTGAGTGAAACGGTGGCTTGAACAAGAAAAATGTTTGTCCATGGGAAACTGATTGGATCGTTGTGGTTGGCTTTTGCTGAACAAAAGTGGATGTTACTTACTAGTTCAGATGACATTTTCTGGTGAAAATTATTATGTTGGTCATACTTCCAAAAAGAATAATCTGTGATTCTTAATGCCAGTATGGACACCGGCGCGGTGATTGACAGCTGCACACTCTCCTCAAACATTGTGTTCATCCGCGCTGTGCCGTGTCGAACTACAACCCACGTAAAGTTGATAATTCCGCAAATGACTGCAATTGCAGATTTCGAACAGAGATGGCGACAAAGAGGAAAAACTGCGGACTGCAGTTTTAGCATTGCCATATCCATTACCATGCCAATCTCTCTGAGAGTTGTCATGACAGAAATACCGCAATATAAAAATGGTCAATTTTGATGTATTTTGATGTTTTAATTGTGTTTCAGTAAGCCTGTGAAAACACTTTAATATTATTTGTGAATGAAAAATGCTATTTCCTTTATCATACTCAATGTATTCCTATATAAACAGAGATTTGAATACAAGGCATACTGTACAACAAGTTCAAGCAACCAAATGAAGAGCAGATGACCTTTTCTGTAAAGGCCAGTAGGCGCATAGAGCCCAGCTGACATTTGAGACACATTTTGGGGTGTTGCTCTACATGACCTTGGTCAAAAAAGATATGCGTGCAAATCTGTTCATTTCAAGAGGTTAATGATAATTATTTGTAGCATAGTGCAGTGTAAAACAAAATGTGTGTACAAATGGTTGCCTGTGTTCAGTGATTTCTCCTGTGTTGGAGCCCACAGCTTTTCTGGAAGGTTCTGGTCCTAATGAGTTTATTATTTTGGGCTCTGTAGCAAAGAAAACACCCACATTTAAGGCAATAAGAGCATGAGGCAATGCTTGTTTGGGAATATGTCTTCCAAATCTGTTGAATATGGAGAGCGACGTCTATAGCAGTGCTTAAATATATTGCGTAAACAGTGCTTGTTGAGGATTACAATTTAAATTAAGTCCTCGGAAAGCATGTTAATTGCACTTTTCAGTGCTGTGAATCAAATATAAAATGCTGTTTATCCATTTTCTTTAAATGTGTTTGATGTGTTTAGTCACAGTTCTAGGTTTGACTTTGACTTATTGGGACACATTTACATATAAATAAATACACAGTTTTATTAATGCGATCCATTTAACAGACCTCCAGTGTTCATTAAGACATGATTGTCATAAACACTCATGAGCTTTGATTTGTGACCCATGACCTTATAACCCCTGAGTATATGTCATGTGACAACAGTGAACATAAATAATTAGCTGAGAGCCAAGGAACGTGCTTTATAAGTTAGGCTCTTTGAGCTCTGGCTCTACTAGCATTCAGACTATACTACTGTCACTTGATCTGCTTCACCAATATAACCTTGGCCTTCATCCACTCACTGTGTGTGTAAAAAAGACTGCCTGGAGTCTCTTCAGTTAGTCTCTGCCTGTCCAACTGCAGCAACTCTCGGATACTGTAAGAATGTCGGATCAGTCGGTCTTTGATGTGGACGTATGGACCCTCACTCGCTTCGTGATGGAGAAGGGGCGGAAGGTGAAGGGGGCCACCGGAGAACTCACACAGCTCATTAATTCCTTGTTAACCGCTATTAAAGCCATTTCATCTGCTGTCAGGAAAGCTGGACTCAATCATCTGTAAGTTTTGCTGAATTATTTTGCATTATGAGAATGAATATGTTTTACTCTAACTGTGTTGTGAACACATTCTTTGAATGTATGAAGCAGAAGAGGGTGACCAATTATAAAATCAAAATGTGAGGACACGTAGACAGTTATGGTTAGTTATGGTTTTTCAGACTAGTTAAAGTTAGTTCTAGTAAAAGAACTGTAAAGTTACAGTGTTTGTATGCTTTTTATTTTACAGTATGTGCACTTACGTGTATGGTTACAGTAGCCTGTAACCATACACATATGGTTGATAATGATAATGATATCATTACAATAATCCTAATAATTATAAAATAATATAAATGATCTATTACATGTAAGGCTGTTCATTTCTAATTGACTAATAATTCTCGTGACAGCATTATTTAGGAATAAGGAAATGCCACCATACTGTTTTGGCATCTGAACCTCAGTATCTGCTTTTTAATAATATTAGTATGTCCTGTTTCACTGAACACAGTCAAGGTCTTGCCGGGCAGGTGAACGTCACAGGCGATGAGCAGAAGAAGTTGGATGTGCTTTCCAATGATCTGGTCATCAATATGCTGCATGCGTCTTATGGCACCTGTTTGATGGTTTCTGAAGAGAACGAGAATGTCATCTACACACCTGCTGAGAAAAGAGTATGAGCTTTGTGATATAAGTCTGGTTTATGAATATATATATTTTACTGTTCAAGAGAAAGGTCTGTTATCATTTACTCACTCTCATGTCGTTCCAAACCTGTATGTTTTTATTTTTCACAAAAAATGTTAGGTAGAAGGTTTATGCTGCTCTTTTCATAAAGTCAATCACGCTCCTAAAAGTGCATTTTAAAAGCTTCACAAAAGTTGAAAAAAACAACAAAAAAACATGGAAATTTAAGTCAATATTCACTCAAAAAATTAAGAAAATCACATTAGTGTCATAGTGTCTTGACATGCCATATTCGGATGTGAACGTATACTAAGAGATATTTTCATTGGTTTGGCTTAAGAAAATTATTTCTCAATTATTATTGACTATAATGGTGCTTTTGCCATTTTTTTAGCTTGACAGGCCCTTGCCTTTCCTTTTGTGTTCAAAGAAGAAAGAAAGTAGCCTAATACAGGTTTAAAACAACATGAAAAGTGAGCAAATGATGACAATATATATATATATTGTGAACTATTCCTTTAACACCAAAGGTAGAAATAATAGAATGTATATAAATTGGAGTTGTTATTTCAGCAATGAACTCTGGTCTAACAAGTAGCCTAAATATGAATGTGCTTATATAATAAAATGAAACTGCTACTCTTTGGAAACATTGTTATGAGATAAAAGAGAGAATAATCTCTTTTAATCGGAATCAGAATCAAAATGTGTTGTCTACAACGTTTTACAACGTCTCAAAATAACTAACAACAACACTTAATAATAATAGTAATAATAAAATATTTTGAGCTGGCTATTATCAAAACAGTTAGAATGGGATAAAGTATGATTACTTTCCATCACATATCCAATTGGCAGTGTTAAATGATGGGGAAAAACTTTAATCAAATAAAACTGCATGTCTGGAATAATTAAATAAATAAAAACCTTAGAAATGTCTGTGTGGTTTTAAAATAGTTATGGCTGCTATGTAAGCTAGGCTATTTGTCAGTCTAATGTACCCTGTGTTCATGCATATTTGTTGGAGTTCATTCAGATAATTACCACATGAGGTCGCCGTCTCATTTCGGATGCATACTCAGTTCAGGCTGCTGTTTGTCACAGGGAAAGTATATAGTCTGTTTTGATCCTCTGGATGGCTCCTCCAACATTGACTGTTTGGCCCCCATAGGCACCATCTTTGCCATCTACAAAAGAGTGAGTGTTTGTACTGCATCTGTTGACTGCAAGATTGGAGTTTGGAGTTGCATGTGCATTTGGTGTAGCCTACTTTTTGATGCATGCGAGAAACCCATAAGCAAATGCAATAAAGAAATAATATAATTGTATTTCCATGTAAGCTTTCTGTCATGTGGTGTGCGAGATGGATTGGTTTGATGTTTGGTGTTCTTGTGCTACTCTCCCATGCAGATTGACGAGGTATGCTGACTGCATTTGACCCTGCCTGATGACAAATATGGCTAAGCATGAATTCAATATAACTTTAAATTGATTTTATTAAGTGTAGCCTACTAGAATGTAACGAATAACAACGGTACAGCTGAGTCTATTATTTAACTTTTGTTATGTTTTAATATAATCTTTTCTAGTTACAAATCGTTAAAAAGTAAGTTGTAACACTTCACGTAGAACTGCAGTAACTAACATGCACTCTAGGTGGTGTCATTGGGTTTGTATGTTGACGTGTATGTACAATTTTATTTGCTTTCAACAGCCAATTTAATCACGATGAGCCTAAATTCACTCTTTTGTCTTTGTGGACAGGCCGCTGATTCAGTTGTTTTTCCTGTTTCAGGCCTCAGACGGAGAACCGACTGTCAAGGACGCTCTACAGCCGGGCAATCAGATCGTGTGTGCGGGTTACGCGCTTTACGGCAGCGCCACGGTAGTGGCTATCAGTACAGGAACTGGAGTTGACTTCTTCATGCTGGATCCAGTACGCACAAAAAAGTTCAATCTGCTGAAATGATATTTAATATACTAATGATGAATAATAATGCCAGGACTTTATTAAATAAATATGAAAAGTAGGCTGTTCTGAAATCAGAGTTGTATGGCCACATAGCCTTTAGAATTCAAGGTAGGAATTAGTTCATTAAATGGATAGTTCACCCCAAAAATGAAAATTTGGTCATTACTTACTTACCATCAAGTTGTTCCAACCTGTATGAGTTTCTTTCATGTGTTGAACAGAAAAGAAGATATTTTAAAGAATGTTGGTAACCAGACAGTTGACGGCGGCGGCGCCCATATGGTATTTTTTTCCTACTATGGAAGTCAATGGGGCCCATCAACTGTCTGGTTATCGACATTCTTCAAAATATTTTATTTTGTGGTCAACAGAAGAAATAAACTCATTCAGGTTTGGAACAACTTGAGGGTGAGTAAATGACAGAATTTTAATATTTGGGT